AATCTGCTATGATCCCCCAAGCCGGAATGCTCAGGGTGATCTTGAGGTGGGAATGAAACTGGGGTGGCCTCCAACCAAGGCGGTGCTGCCGAGATGGGGGACTTCAGCCACCCACGCATGGCCTGGGCACATGCACGCTCCTCTTGCGACAGAGAGGCAGGAGCTCTGGGGGGGGGGGCGCTCCCCGAAGAGCGGCGGCTGCAGGGCACGCCGGCCGGCTGGCCGGCCGGGCGGGCCAGCCCAGCCCCGGGCTGAACTCTGCCCGCCGAGCGCGCCCGTGCGCTCCAGCCCCGCGGCGGGGCGTGCGCCGTGCCCGAGACACGTGTCCTCCCCGGGCGCGCTGCTGGAAGGGCGGGGAGAGGTGGAGAGAAGCCCGCGGCGGGCGGGGTCGCCGCGTCTGACGCTCCGCGAAGTGGGCTTCTCCGGGCCATGTGCTTCTCATTACAGAGGGCGGCCGAGGCCCAGTCGCGGCAGAAGCTCGACGGGGGACGCGGCGAGGAATGCGAGCCGAGGAGCGCCGAGCGCGGGAGGAGCTTGGCGCGGGCATGGAGCAGGGCGCCCGGCTCTGGCGCTGCGCCTGCGGGGGCTCCTCCGGGCAGCGTCGCCCGCTCGTCCGCTGCTCGGCGCTGCTGCTGCTGCTGCAGCTGCTGCAGCTGCTCCCCCCCAGCCACGGGGACAGCTCCGGAAGGCGAGGTGAGCCGGGCACGGGGGTCGCCCGTGGGTGCGGCGGAGCCTCGCCTCGCCTCCTCCCCGTATCCCTGCTGGGGGGGGGGGGGCGGGGACCCTTGCAGTCCCCCCCCTCTCCCGGGCGGCTGGGCAGAAGCTGGCGGAGGTCTGGGGGATGCCTTCGGGGGCGGGCGTCCGTCGCCCCGGCATCCGGGCGGCGGGAGAGCGCAGCCTTGCCGCTGCCTGCGGAGGCGGAGGGTGGGCCGGGCGAGGTGGGGCCCCGTCCGTGTGGTGGGACGGGGCTTCTGAGGCGCGGAGGGGGCGCGGCGCCTGGCGAGGGGCGCCGCCGGCTCTTCCGCGGCCGCGCTCGCCGCCCTGAGGCGAGGTGATGGGCGAGTCGGCGAGGCGCTCGGGGGAGCGGCTGTCTCTCGGGCTGGCCTCTGTGCATGCGAAAAAGGCTGGACGTGGCTCTTGGCGGGGGGGGGGGCGTGCAGGCATCCCCGGCGTGCGGCCTGTGGCCCCACATGCGCGGGCCCGCGGGTGCGGGGCGTGCGCTTGCCCCGGCGCCCCGGAGGAGGCAGGGCGCGCGGTGTGAGGACGGGCGCGCCTTGCGCGAGTGCCCGGCGCGGCCGCGGCCCCGCCTGGCTGGAGCCCCACCTGCGAGGCGCTCACCTGGGCGTCCCTCACCTGAGCGGCCGGGCCCGGCGGGCGGCGAGCGAAGGGGCGCCGGCGCGCCGCAGCCTCTCCGCGCCCTGGTCTGGGAGCTCCGAGGAAACTTGAGAGTGTCCCGGGGCCGGGAGCAGGAAGTGCGTCCCGGCCCGTGGGCCGCTCGGTGGGGGCCGCTCCTGGGGGGGGCGTACAGGGGGCGCCCCTGCCTGCTGGGGAGGGGGGAGCCCGGGGAGCGGCGGGAGGTGCCTGCAGCCCGGGAGCGTGAAGGGGGTCGGTGCCCCTCGACTTCGCATGGGGCCGGAGGCGCGCCGTGCGCAGCCCCGGCCCAGAGGCCGCCCGTCCTTCGGCGCCCTGTCCTAGAGCGCCCGAGGTCTGATCCGGCCCAGCGGCCCGAGCCCCCTCGGCCTGCGACAGGGTGCAGTCTGCGGATTTGTTTCCGGGGAAATTCCTGTCTTCCCACTCCGCAGGCTCTTGGCTGCCAGGGCCTGGCCGCACTCCAGCATGACTCTATATGGTCTGGTTTGGGATGGATGCAGAAGCATCTGCCCAGCCTCCCGCTAAGCCCCGTGGGCCGGGGCAGCGGCGGACCTCCTCTCTGCTCCCTGCGCGTATCCTGAAAACAGAACCGCTGGCTCTACTGGGCAGCCGTCTCCAGTCTGGTTTGATTTCTGTCCCACTCAACATTCGAAGCTTTCTAGGAGGTGTGCGGAATTTTAAAAAATGCACTACAATGCATTTTCCCGCCTCTTGCCCGCCAGTCCCTGTCCGAAAGCTTCCTTCCATCCCTCTGCTCATGTGCAGATGTGTGCCAGAAGTCGAGGCATGTCTTACTTGACAGCCCAGGTCCCATCCTCAGATGCATGAGGAATTTGCAGAGACTTCTGTGCATGTGCAGAGCGCACCTTTCTCACCATGAGGAGGGAGCACCTGGGCGGGAGCTGGGGGTTGCGCTCTTCCAGGCCGTAGGTGTGGCTTGTGCCCATCCTCTGTCCTCTTAAAAGTTAGCTGATGGCCAGGTTTGCATGCCGTGGTGACTGCTGGCCATTTCTTCAGTGGGGCTGGCGCATGGGCAATAAGCCACCCATAGCCCGTGGGCTGTGGGGAGGTTAGTGTGCCCAGGACGGCTGCTGTGCCATCCCAGTTCCGATGGCCAGGAGTCTCCCAGGTGGCCGCCAGTGACAGTCATTCCTGGAGTGCCCCATGGGCGAGGAAAGGCAATAAACCCGAGATCTGTTTGAACGGAAGCCGTGGACTGTCGGCCTGAATCGAGTACATTCCCTAGTACTAGAATAAAGACCTGGGCATCCTCCAGATGTTTTGGATTGCAGTTCCCATCATCCTTTAGGAGAAAAGCAGGCTTTGTGCTCCTTTCCCTTTCTATCTGAGATGAGGTGCAGAGGCCCTGATCCTGGCCCCCAACGCCACCCACCCCTGCAACCCATGCACCTCCTAAATCTAGTCACTGCACAGTCCTGAACAGAATTGGGTCCCTTGCTGCCTACGCTAGGATAAAAATTATTTATTTATTTAGAAAATTTCTATGCCGCCCCATTCGCTGAAGCCTCGGGGCGGCTCACAAACATAAATTGTTTCATAAAATTGTTCCATAAAAAATGAAAGCAAGCCAACAGTCCTTGCATACAATCTAACCTCGGTCTTAAAGCCACGTTGGGTTTGGACTTCAGGTGCTTAACTTATCATTCAGAGCTTGGGCCGCAAACGAGGCACGTCTGTTCTGCCCCCCCCCCCTCGCCATGACGAACCGGCTCGGTCCCTGTTGTGCGAGTCCAAATGCTTTGCAGGGTTGGGGTGAGATTTACTGAGATGCTCAGGAAAGGTGGTGCGGAGGCGCTGGCAGAGGGTGCTGAAGGATCGGCCTGCTTCTTCACACTTCTGGGCGTGAATGCAAAACTCTGCCAGCCTGCCCGCATGCCTGCCACAGGGCCCAGGTGCCCGAGATGCAGGGCGTGGCGTCTCGGATGGGGTCCAGGCAGTGCTCTTTGTGTCCAGCGGTAAACCTGAAGCAGAGGGTTGATGGCTACTGGTTTCTTCAAGAGGAGCCTGGGGGTTTCTGGACGATTTCAAGTTGTGCCCGATACACAAGTGGTGCGTTAAGTGGGTAAGACCTTCTGCGGAACAGCAGAAGGAGCTGCATGGCCCCCTCCACTGCAAGTCCTGTTGATCGGCTCAAGAGGAGCCGCTGCTGCAGGGCACTCACTCCCCCCTCGCCTGCAGCATCCGTCACACCCACACCCCACACCGTATCAAATCCTTGTTTCCAAAAAGCACACTGCCAGTCAGCCTGCGATGGCTGAAGAGGCCAGTGCTTGCGAGGAGCTTCTGCATGTGGGCGGCAGTCCCCAAACACCCCCCTGTGGCCTCCCCTGCATTTCCAACATCGCCTCCTGCAAAACACCTGCAGATCTTGTCCATTTCAGCAGGGCTCGGAAAGGAAAAAGAACCTGCATGTTTGCAGCTCTCACTCGCTCACTCCTCCTGAGCAACCTTTGCAAGTGATCCGAAGAGTATGCAGTGGAGGAGGCCTGCTTTCTTTCACCTTCCCTGGCTGGGGACTCTTTGTCTAGTGTAATTTCATTGCTCCTTCCTGTCTCTGGTTGAATGTTTGCATCGAGGTCTGCAGATTTTGACAGCCTTTCCATTCAGGGCTCTTTACGCTCCGGCTTTTCTTAGCTCTGTGGCTTCTGATCACTTTGTTGTTCGGGATATGACTAAAGAAGGCCAGGTGGAAACTGTGACATTTGAGCTCTTTGGGATTTTCTTTTCAAGACACAGCTGCACGTTTTGCAGCCATGTTTGTGCAGACAATCTCTCTTCGGCTCGAGGAGGAGCGATATGAAGTGCAACCTTAAAACCTGGTGCTGGAGCCTGTCCTTTTCCTCCTCCCTCGGCAACCCCTTTTCCTCATGTGCTGTGTCTTTTAGATTAGAAGCCTAAATTGCATAGCTATTGTCTGCTTTTTATACAGCGCAGAAGCGACTGGGTCGATCTGGAGACGTGGCCTGTCTCCCCCACTGCGCTCACGAGCAGCTGTGTTTCGCCGCCATTGCAACTCTGGCAGGAAATGCGCCGGTCCTGTGCCATCAATGCTTCTGTTGATCGCACTTCGGCACTGCATCTCTTCCATTCATTTCCCTTCCTCTCCCCTCCCCACTGCTGCTGTTTGTGAGTCCTCAACCTTCCTCACGGAAACATGGCAGGGCCGGGGGAGAAACATCTGAGGGAGAAAGGAGGACCTGGGCTTGGTTGGGTCTGGAAACCCGAATCTCTGCATTTGATTCGGCTTCCCAGCAACTCTTGGTGGCCTTTATGGTGAGCCAAATTGCCTGTTCACCTCGCAGGCTCCGGAAAAGTGTAAATGATTCTGCAGAGGAGAATCGTGGGGGGAAAACGCAGGAGGGGTTGCGTGGTGTTGCTGGGGACCCCCACCTCCCCCAGATGCCAGGAATGGAGCAGGGTGGCTGCCGAATCCCCCGGAAGCACCGCACAATGGCAGAAAGTGTTTCTTTTATGACACTGGCTCTTTCTGCTTGCAGGGCTGTCGCCGCACGGAGAGTCGGTCACTCCGTACTGGATTTTGGGCGGGCGAAGCCGGCGAGCGGCTGGTGTGGCAGAAGAGGTGAGTGACCCTCGCAGGTGGGGGGCAGCTTTTCCTTGCTTTCTCACCATTTCCCCTCTCATTATTTCCTCATCGAAATGGAAATGCTCAGGTGGAAATTGGGCCCTTGCAGCATTTCCAGCTAAGGAGATGCCATTTCTCTGGGGGCTGCTGTGGGAAGGTGTCAAAAACCAAAACCTGCTTAAAGCTGCTAGTTCTCTGGAGGCTCTCGCCCGGGTCTGGGGGTGCAGTCCTGCAAAAATAGGGGCGCGGCCCAGTCCAGGTGGAAGCTGGCCCTTGCTAAGTTGGGAAGGACCCCAGTGAAAAGCAAATGCACTTGGAATAAAACCTCAGCTTGATTCAGAACTCTTTGTCTTTCCAGTTTGGTGTTGCTCTAGCTGGGGATGATGGGAGTTGTGGGATCATAGCTGGGGATGATGGGAGTTGTAGCCCAACACATTGTGAGGGTGCCAGCTTGGAAAAGGTGCTTTGAAATGTCTGAGGTTTGAGAAGTGTGGGGTTTGTTAGACCTTGGCACCTGCTAGAGCCAAAGTGCTGGCAGGATTTAATCTTACATCCTTAATGCACTCAGTCAATCTGCCCTTCCAGGCTCTTTTTGCACCCAGAACTGTGGGGAGAATTAGGACAGCGGGTTGAACGAATGGCAGGTGAAGTGGGGAATGTGGTTGTGTTTAAATCTGGCTGGAGAGAGACTTCCCCTCAGCCCCGTTTTTAAGCAACGACAAAGAATCTTGTGGTACCTTAACCTCCAACAAATATATTCTGAAATAAACTTTGAAAGGCACGGTTTGCAACATCAAATGCATGCAGTGTTCCGCTCGGAGCGAGAGATCTGTGTGCATGTGCGGGGTGGAGACTGAAATGTAAAAACTGCAGTGGGCGATAATCGCTTTAACAGTTGGTTGTTTGATGGTGGCTGATAACACAGATATTAACTCCTAATGGTAAGCAGCTTTAACCAATGCCCGGATTAACCCCCTCTTCCCACCTTTGCCCTTGTTCAAACCAGGAAGCAGAATTGCCTGATGAATCGGACTTCTGCAATCTCACGCTGAGCTCTCTCTTTGCCAGACATTTTTGCAAGAAGGGCCACTTGTCCTAGGAAGTTGAAATGCCCCCACACCACACCCACTGCTTCTGGAACGATGTCCGTCCTGAGCTCGGATTGGTGTGTGTTACTGCTTTGTGTAGGGACTGGCCCTTTGGAGCCAGTAGGAAATGTTGCCAAGGGCCGGCTTAAGTGCCACTGAAGGATGGGGACCGGGCCGAACCCCCGGTGCCGTGGGTAGCAGGTTGCCAGATAGATGAGGGGCCAGGGGGAGCAAAACTGCCCCAGGGTCTGGTTTCCGTGTGTGCTGGACGGTATCCCTTGGCCGGAGTCGTGCCGGGCCCAGATTTTTCCTGGGCCTTGGGCTGGCCTTGTTGATCTGTTTTGCAGCGGATTGAGCAATGCTTGTGGTCGGAGGAATGTCTGATGTCGATCCTGAGGCTGCGGGTCGCTGTTTGTCTCCTTGAGGTTGTGGTAGTGTCCCGTTGGTTCAAAGGAGGTTGCAGGCGTTTGAAATGCAGCAAATTGTTTGTAGGCGACAGATGGGATCTTTGGCAAGCGGCTAAGACTGGAGGAAAAGCAACGGCGCTTGAGAGAGCTGGTATTCATCCAGGAGCCGTTGCACTGGTTGCTTTCTTACAAATATATGACTCTCTTCAGCCAACCAGCAGAAACTTTCCTGCCCCTTCCAGGTGCTCTGCCTCTCAGGGGAGATGAGAGCCCATGAGGCTGGGCTGCTGTGGTGTTGCATGGGAAGTTTTCCTTCCCGATGGCCATGTGTTCGTTAGATGTCTGAATCTGCTCCCTGCCTCTCATTTCCCCTGAGATGAAGATTGAAAGAGAGCTCAACTGTCTCAAAAGCGGCCGCAGAACATGCAGCTGGGAGCTGGGGAAGAGCCCCTCCTTCCGCTGACTCCTCACTCTGCCCCTCGCAGATGACTGCCCAGCCGGCCACGCGGGGTCGGGTCGGTGCTGCCGCCAAGAGCACGACAAGCCATCCTGGACTCCACAATGCCTGTTCCAGAAGGAAAAACACAACCCGTCCACCCTCTAATCGATGCTGGAGAAGTGGGACGGCAGAAGCTGCGTTTCTGCACATGGCGGAGCAATGCCCCATCCGCTCTGTCCGAAACACCCCATTCCTGTTTAAAGAAGCCAGTGCATTGCTGAGTTGCGTCCCCCATGCTGGAAGCTCTCTTCTAGCCACCACAATTGGGCTACACGAGCCCCCAGGGGGCTGAGGCGCCTATGATGGGGTGGAGAGACGCATCATCTCCCTCCGCCATGCCTGGACTGAGGGCCTCCCAGCCTGGCACTGCAAGAGGGAGCAGACTTAGCGACAGTAACTTTATCCTAGTGGCCCTTCGCTGCACCGATTCCAACCTGGCTACATCCCTCTTGTAATGAGGGGCCCAGAATTGGGCACGATCCTCCAGCTGTGGTAACACCAGAGTTGCATAGAGTGGCAGTAATACCTCTCTCGGTCCAGAAGCCCGGCTAACTGTGAACATATGTGCGCGTACGTGCATTAGTGAGCATAGCTTCTGCATTTCTGGTTACTGCATATGAGTATACGCTTTTGGTTTTGCATCCCTTTTCTTATTCTGTATATCAGATAAAAACGAGGAAGGAAGAACGAAAGAAAGAAAGAAGGGCCATGCCAGATTGGATAGCTGAGGGTCCGTTCACACTGGCCAGACGATGGCCACAGGAGACCCACAAGTGCATATGGGGAGATGGGCATCCCCCTCCAGGGACGGCTTGTTGCCAGCCGGGCTAGTAGCCACTGCCCCCCTTTAGCAGTGCTCCAGTCTGCGGCTAGTGCAGCGTCCATCAGTCCCCCGTGCAGAGGCCCTCCTCGCTCACTGCCCTGAACGTCCCTTCGTTCGGTTCCATGGGGCGACCCATCTGGGCTCCCACATCATAGGGGAGAGAGAGGAATTCCGCCCTCCGGCTTCTCCACGCGAGGCCTCCGTCCCGCCTTCCCTTCCTTGACCTTTTCCCAGGATAAGCCACCTCAGACCTGTGGCCTTCCCCGCCGGGCGCTGCTGCACCCCCCGTGCACGTTCAAGCACAGCCCCAGAGCGGCCCCACGCTGCCCCGCACGGCTGGCTGCGCAAGCAAGCAAGCCAGGGCTGCCTTTGGGAAGGGGAGCAGCTGCGCTCTGGGGGCCTGGCAGCCAGCAGCTGCTGCCTTGGCGTGGCAGGGCCCTTTCACCGGACGGGGCTGGGAGGGGGCGGATTTGGGGCGTCTGTGGCTGCCCCTCTTGCCTCCTGCTCACTCGTCTCGCGGCTTCGTTTGCACGGGGCTCACCCGCCGCTGAGGCGGAGGCCTCCAAAGGCAGCCGAGACCTCACTCTGCTGAAGGCATTAGCCGTGACCCACTTACGACGGTGCCTCTGAGGCCCAGAGCGCCCGGGGCCTGCGCAAGGGCCTCGCGGGACGGCCTCCTTGGGACGACTGACGCCGCCTGATTTAGGCCAAGAGCACCGGCAAGAGAGCAGAGCGGCTCTGTGGAGCAGGGGGGCGGTCGCAGGCAATTAAGCCCATCGGTGGCGCAAAGCGTCATCGTGCAACGCTTTGAAATGAGCCAGGACCGGAGCAGGGGCTTTGGTGAGCAGCGGTGAAGCTGGAAGCCCGGTGCTGGAGAGGAGACTGGGCAGGTCCGCGGGCACTGGCAGCTGCGTGATCCCAGGTCGTGCGGCCCAGCATTGCCCGCTCTGACCGGCAGCAGGGCTCTGGGCTCTAGGGGAGGGACAGTCTTGCGCCGGCAGCCTTCGCTTCCTGGCAGGAGCTGCCAAGGACTGAGTAGGGGTGGGGGCTGCACGGGGGAGTCGCAAGGGCCAAACGGCCACTGTCCGGCGAGCAGGCTTCATACCTGCTGCTCTCCAGGGTCTCCACCCGTGAGCATCTGGCATTCAGATAGGTTGCTGCGGAAAATGGAGGCTCCATTCAGCAACCACTACTGCTGATAGACTTTCTTCAGGAACTTGTCCAGCCCTTTCTGAACCCCACTTCCGCTACCGACATCCTCTCTGTAATAACATTTTAATTTTTGGCATGGGAGAGTTTTAGCCTGGGAGAAAATGTGTCATGTGCGTATGAATGCGGGAGGGAGGCGGGAGGAAGGAAAAACTGCCACCCTGCTCAGCTGGGCTTTCCTGGGCTAGCTGGCTCTGCTCACTGAGCATTTCAGCAAGGGCCGGAAGTGAGCAAGCCGGGGCAGGCTGTCCATCCTGGACGCTATATATAACATCCAGAGGGGTGGTGAGAGGGGAATGCAGGCAGCTCCCGGGTTTATTTTAGCCTGTCCCTCGTGCCCCGCACCGCACATTCCTAGAGAAGGCGTGGAGGGGGTGTAATTTGGGGCAGTGAGCGGGCTTTACTACAGCCCCACTGCCCCGCCGCCCGCAGCCTCCCCGGGGAATGGCCCAGGAGGGCAGCCAAATCCTTCCAGGAATGAGAACCGGCGGCCGAGCCAGGAAGCTGGTGATTCCGGGGCAGCGGGGGCGTGTGGGGTGGCTGACCCATGGGGGATCATGTCTGTCCTCGCGCCGCTTGTCCCCGAAGGAGCCTGGAGGGGCTCCTTTGAAAGCACCCAGCCCGGGCACGGCATCCAGGCCAGCACGGCGGAAGCGTGGGGCTGCCGGACAGCCGTGCCCACCTGGAGAAGGACTGTGCCCATCGTGGTCCCGTTCGGAAGGTGCCGGCCTGGAGACGGCTCCCCGGAATGGGACGCGGCTGCAGCTCGGCCCCTGAGCCAAAGTGGGGCGGCATGAGGTGGCCCCTCCGCCAGCTGCTGGGGGGAGTCTTGCGGCTGCAGGCCTCCTGCGATGCTGCCCCCCTCCACGGCTCCCTTCCCCTTGTCGGGCCGGGCCCTTGGGTTGCGAGACCCAGGCCTGGCAGCCACCCTCACCGGTCAGCTGTGGCTGTGAGTTTCCACGGCAGCAAGCATCCTGGTGAGGGCCAGCAGCTTGCGAGGTCTGTGGTGGGGGGAGCCCCACGTTCATGCCCTTCCTCTCATTGTTGCACAGTATTTCCCAAAGCGGACACCCCCTCACCCTGGGCCCTGCTGCCTTTTACCTGCCCATATAGGGAGGCTGTGAAGGGAAGCGCTGACGAGCTGGCAGAGGAAGGAAGCTGTGGGCAGGACTTGTTAATTTGGGGTCTGTTTTAGAGCCCCGTTCAAATTTCCTCACCGGTTTTTCACCCAAAAAGTGTGGGTTTCCTGCCAGCACTTCCCTTAACCCATCAGGCCAGAAGGAGAGTTACGGGCAGAGAAGGTACGGGCAGGTGGTGGGAGGCAGGTCCCCCGTAGCAGCCCCTCTGCCCACTGACTTCATCCCTGATCTGTGGGTCGCCCCAACGCAGAGGACGTGGGTCATGCGAAGAGGGGGCTTGCGTGCAAGGCCTGGAGGCCGCTGTGCGTGCGCAGCAAAGGGGCGGCCCAAGGTGCGTCGCCGCCCGAGATTTTTATTTATTTATTTATTTTATTAAAACATTTTTATGCCGCCCCATTCGCCGAAGCCTCGGGGCGGCTTACAACAATAAATTAGGTCCATATAAATAACATTAGAATACATGAAAATAAACTACATTAGAATAAAATAAGCCGCCCTGGCCAGATAAAATCTAGAATTACTAACAGTTAAAATGCCACTTAAATAAAAAGGTCTTCGCCTGGCGCTGAAAAACAAATAACGACGGCGCCAGGCGGACCTCTCTGGGGAGCGCATTCCATAACTTAGGTGCCACCGCTGAAAAAGCCCTCCTCCGAGTAGCCACCCTCCTAATGTCCTTCACGGAGGGCTCCCGGAGGAGGGCCTCTCCCGCTGATCTCAGGGGGCGGCTGGGCATATATGGAAGTAAGCACTCCTTCAGGTAACCAAGAGATGGCGCTTGCTCTAGATCGGAAGGAGAGGTTTCCCTTGCCCAGCCGTCCTTCGGCTCGGGGAGGGCTCCTGGGCTCTGCTCCGTCCAAAGGTGGCAGGCTTGCTTGGGAGCTCCCTGCATGGCACACAGCCTGTCCTCCGTACCGTGCCCCCGCCTCCAGCATCTGCCAACCGAGGCGGCCTGTTCACCCTGCCTCGTGGTGGCCCCAGACCAGCTGCAGGGCGAGGGCAGCCAGAGATACTGTAATGCCAAGTAGAAGCACAGCCTCTCTTGCCATGGTGCGGACGCCCGGCTGACCTGCGGCCTCGGCTTCTCGGGCCAGATGGACGACCTCGAAGCCTAGCAGCCTAGCAGTGGGACTCCTTGCTGGACTGGCTCGGACTGGACTGCCCACCCAAATGAGGCCGCCTTTAGACAGAGGGCCGTCTTCTGCCAGCTCTCCAAGGCAGAGGACTCTCCTCTGTCAGAGAGCACGGACAGCTCTCCTGGGGGTCAGCCCTGTGAGCTGGCTGCCCCGGAGTGTTGAGCCCGTGCCGTCCGGGCTTGCATGAGTCGGGACCTTCATGGGGACTGCTGGTATGCCCACCGTGCCTGGGGCTTGACGCACATGCACACAGCGCACCCACACGCTGCAGAAATCCTTTCTAGAGTTAGGTAATCCTCTCTAACTCACTTCAGTGGCTGCATTCGTGGAACGACTCGGCTAGTGGTCAGAGACGTTTGCTCTGAACCGCTGAGCCAACCCTCCATGGCCACTCAGAACTGCCGGCAATTTAGAGCTTCCCGTGATATGTTTAGACCTGCTGTTCGGAGAGTTTGTGCTGGTGGCCCATCTGCCATGCCACCTGGGATGCCCCCTTTCCAAGGAGAAAGAACCACGGATGCCACGCTGGAGTTCCCAGCCGTAAGAAAAGCTCTACAGAAGAACTGTTGACCAACCATTTCGGCCTGGAAAGCCAAACGCGGTTTCCCATAACCAGAGCAGCACGCAGGTTCCTTCGGAAAGCCACATGCGCTGCCAGAATCGATTTAACAGTGCAGTGGCGACGTCACAGCCTTGGTGAATATTCTGTGGTCAACCGTGAAAAACCTTTGGGTGCTAGAAAGATAGCTCTTACGAGACTGGTGTGGGTGGAGGTTTCCCTGCGGTGAGTTGAACTTGCTTTCCACCTGGCTTTTGTTCCTCTTAGGACATGCATGCTCTCTCCTGGTATGACGTTGCATCCCATTCTCCATGCCTTGAGCTAGCTCTTGGGTGTACAGGGAGTTTCTTTTCAGCACCCAGCAGTTCATAAAACTTAACCCCATGCATTTTAGGCTAGAAATATAATAAGCTTGGTCTAGAGAGCTTTAGGAAAGCTTAGACAGAAGGAAGTTCTCCAGTGTGGGTTGAAGTTGTAGGACTTCCTTTCATCTAAACATGTATAGGATTGCACCCTTAATAGCTTGAAAGGGGAAGAAAACCAGAACGGAGCCTTGCCAACTTTCGGGTGTGGATTGTATCAGTTCCTTCCCTTGCTTCTCCAGTGCTTCTTCATATTGTCTTTCCGAACAAAAGATCTCTTCCCATGCTAAAGGCAACCAAAGCCCTCTATCATCCATGGGATTTCTGAAGGAAGACCAATGT